GGTTGTTAAACCTTGTATCGACCAATACCCCGGTATATCGATAGCACCAGGCAGATTGGTCTTTGAAACTCTGCTGTCTCAGCTCAACCTGAGCACATGGTTGTAGTCTCAAAACGAAATCACCAATATTGAACAAACAGGAAGTGAATTCTCTCACATAATATGGTGTGATTTGTGGGTGTACAAAGAACATTTCACTAAAATTTTGACCCATCTAATCAAAGTTTTTTGCTCCACCTCAAAACCCATATATTTATCAAAATCAACCATGTGGGCTTCATAACAAAGAAATGTAACCACATCGCTGATTGAGATCAAGTTTAATGGTCAAGAGTTGCTATGATAGTTCATAACACATTACTGATAAAGCTCTGTTGGAGGAGGTCATTCATAAGCATCTCTATATTAATCCAACAATAACCTACCACAATTCAGAAGAAGCATGTACCTCATTTCCCTTGTTTCCGTAGCTAATTAATACCTCATTATGACTCTTGAAGGGACCTTCTCCAACTTTGGAATTGAGCAGAAAATAGTTATAATGAAGAAAGATAAGATCAGCAAAAGGAAATAGAAGTACTTCAACAATTTACTTAAATTCATTAATTATATGGTATCAGATGCTAAAAGACGATACAATAAAAATAAAGATAAAAAGATCATACCTGAAGAAAGGTACATGGAGAAAGGAACACCAGCTTTCATTCCTGTTGCATCAACTTCCCATGTCGCAGTGGGCCTTGCACCTAAGTATGATTATGATGCATTCATAGGGCTGTCAGTATCACACTATCAGCGCAAAAGAAAGAAAGATACAAATCAGAAAATCACACAGAAAAATCAGACTGGTCTGGCAGACAAATAAATCAAACAAATCTGGGACACAAATAAATCAGAAAAATCTGATAGACAAGTCACGGTCAGGGATTTGAGATCTTTAAAGATCTGAGATATTATTTTTTGATTGCAATCTTTGAATTATTGTTTTCTTTTTAGTTGTTTTCTTTATTTTATTTTCCAAACTCTTTAAAGCATATTTAAGGGCCAGTTGAATGCAGGAAAAAGGTATGCAAGTTTTCAGCAAGAAAAGTCTAAGGAAGTTTGTGGAATTCTCAAAAAAAAGTCCAACTTGTGATAAAAAAATTGCATAATTATATTCTTCCTAGTTTTCTGCCAAATAGTAAACATAGCCAACCCTTCCAAAGCTTAGTCTACCCTCCCACTCACCCAAAGGCCTGTGACGAGATCTTGCACACAGGTTGCCCATAACATTGGTTCTGTTGTCGGCGTCATGAGCGATATGTTGTTTGCATCAAAGGAAGATGTCTCCAATCTAAAAGAATCCATAGACCGCCTTGAACAGATGATGGAAAAATTACTTGCAGACGGAAGTAAAACTGCAACAACAAAGGTTACCAATGCTGAGCAGGCGGTGGTACATGCACCCGACAATATGAATCACATCGCTACTACTCATGGATCACATTTCGAGTTTCCCCTTTTCTCTGGCACAGAAGATCCACTCAGTTGACATGAGTCACTATGGCTGCTTACTATCTCATTGGAGATGCTCGTTCTGGTATCACCATATATGCCAAGACCAGCCGCATATCTCTTAGGAATCTTTTCGAGATTACTCCACTCACAGATTTGGTCCTCCGGGTGGTGCAAATCCATTAGGGGATTTGACAAATCTAAAACAGCAAGGCCGTCCAATTGAGGAGTACATCACACAGTTTCAGAACAACCTAGAACATGTTTCACCACTTTGTATGGAATACCAAGTTTCTATGTTCACAGCTGGATTATATGAGGTATTGTGCACTTGTGCATAGATGTGGAATATAAAAAACCATTGAATTTGACCATGGCGTTGAGTGAGGCAAGACTATTCGCGAGAAAGTTGCAGCTTTGGACTTCGGCTCATCCCAGAACTTTATGGCCGCCTCCCAAGACAGTGCACTACCCGACAGCAGCCACCACTCCATTATCACCAATTGCAGGACCCTCAATAACTCGGTCAGCCCCTCCTCCCCCATACATGAAGAGGTTGTCCAAAGCTGAAGCAGCAGAACGGCGAGCCAAGGGACTTTGTTACAACTCTGATGAAACATACGTACCGGGGCATAGATGCAAATGACTGTTCTGCTTTTGGATGAATGATGACGAGGAAGGGTCTGAAAGTTAGAGCCCATGGTTTCCCTTTATGCCATGGCTGGACTTCATCACCCCAACATGCTTCAAGTGCAAGTCGAATTGGACGGTAGTTATGTTGTTGCAATGATTGATTCAGGGAGCACCCATAATTTCTCTCACTCGGGTTACCAATCACACCTCGCCAGGATTTTCGTGTGGCAGTGGCTAATGGAGAAAAGGTACTCAGCACGGGTGTGTGCGAGCGAGTGAGACTTGGTAAGGCTGGTGCCACATTCTTGATTAATCTTTTTGTCTTACCAAAAACAGGGTTTGATATTATCCTTGGGGTAAAATGGTTGGAGGAATTGGGTGATATCGTGTGTAATTTTAGGGAGCAAGGGTCACCTTTACAATACAGAGAAGAACCGTTACTTGGACAGGACATGCAGCTCCACTTGGCACTACTTTGTACTTTGTAGTCTATGCATTCTGCAATTTCTAATGATCAAGCAATGAAGGAGCTTTTGAATTACTTTGACACCATTTTTTCTGATTCTATGGCACTGCCTCCAACACACAATTGTGATCACTTGGCACAACTGCAAAAGGATGATATTGAGAAGCACTGTTTGGACATGCAGGAAAGAGGACAAATTCAGCCAAGTCGAAGCCCATTTTCATCTCCAGTACTCCTAGTTACAAAAAGTGACAACTCGTGGCGCTTTTGTGTAGATTATCGGGAACTCAATGCACAGACTGTTAAGGATAAATTTCTCATTCCAGTAATTGATGAGCTCTTGGACGAACTTCACGGATCTCAGTTCTTGGACGAACTTCACGGATCTCAGTTCTTCACAAAGCTTGGCTTGCGCTCAAGGTACCATCAAATACGCATGAGCCTAGAAGATTTTGAAAATACAGCATTTTGCACCCACCAATGGCCACCATGGACATTTGGAATTCTTTGTAATGCCATTTGGCATATGCAACACGCCGTCCACCTTCCAAGCACTTATGAGTGAGGAATTCGGGCCCCATCTTCGTAAATTTGTCTTGGCCTTTTTTGACGATGTATTAATCTACAGTCACACTTGGGTGGAGCATCTACAACACATTAGAATTGTGTTTGGATTACTCCAAACTCATCAATTGTGTCTAAAGGTAGCTTATCTCGGACATGTGATTACTAGAAATGGGGTGGCGGCAGATAATTCAAAAATTCAAGTGATCGTTGATTGTCCTAGCTGGTTTTTACCGGCGTTTTATCCCACACTTTGGTGTGCATCCAGCACCTTTAACTTCACTCCTTCGCAATGCATTTTCATGGTCCAACGAAGCTCAAATATCGTTTGACAAGCTCAAAACTCCCTTGTCCAGTTCACCAGTATTGCAATTACCCAACTTTTCCAAGTCATTCTTAATTGAAAGTGATGCATTAGGGGTGGGTATTGGAGCAGTTTTATAACAACTTAACAAGAAAACCACCTCATTGCCTTCTTCAACAAGAAGCTTGCGGCCCGCCACCTTAAGCTGTCGTCATACGAGAGGGAACTGATAGGCTTAGTCCAAGCAATACGAAACTGGAGGCACTATCTTTGGGGTCGCCCTTTCGTGACTCGAACTAATCATTACGGCAGAAAATACTTATTGCAGCAACATCTTACAACCTCACCGCAACAACATTGGATGAGTAAACTCTTGGGTTTTGATTTTGAAGTCGAATACAAACCTAGAAAATTGAATCAAGTGGCAGATGCTCTATCATGGAGGGATGCAAATTCAGCAACCCTCATGGCAGTTACCATGTTTCACGCCCAGTTAATGGAGGGTTTAAGGAAGCACTATCAGCACTCCAAGGAAGGCTAGATTGTTTTCAACAAAGCAACACACGAGGAAAATTCTAATTGGACAGTCCATGATGGCATGGTTTATTTTAAGTCCAAAACATATGTGCCAACCTACTCTAATTATATCCCTACCATCCTCGCAGCAGTTCATAATGCTACTCATGAAGGGATTCAAAAGACTCTGCATCACATAAAAAGGGAATTCTATTGGAATGGCATGACATCTTCTGTACAGGGTTTCGTCACCAATATTGTTATTTGCCAAAAAAATAAATGGGAAAACTTGCACCCAGCAGGTTTACTACAACCCCTACCAATCCTTGAACACATATGGGCTGATATTTCAATGGATTTTATTGATGGGCTACCCAAGGTCGGATGTAAATCAGTTATCTATGTAGTGGTGGATCGATTCTCCAAATACCCTCACTTTATGGCATTGTCACATCCCTACACAGTAGCGTCAATGGCTCATTCCTTTTTCTCTAATATGTTTAAATTATTCTGGAAGGAACTCTTTCAGTTATGTGGCACACATTTGGCGTTTTCTTCATCTTATCACCCACAAACGGACGGTCAAACAGAGTCGTTAATCGCACATTGAAAATGTATCTCAGATGTATGGTAGGAGATCACCCATGCAGGTGGGTAGACTGGCTGCCATGGGCTGAGTTCTACTATAACACCTCCCTCCATTCGACTTTGGGTACTTACCCCTTCAAGGTCATCTATTGGCGCGAACCGCCAGGGCTTATATCCTAGGAACCAGGATCATCCAAAATAGAAGCAGTAGACGTTGCTTTGAAGGATAGAGATGCTTTTAGAACTCGATAAGATCTCTGAGCGTGTTGAGAGTGTATCTCTCTGGAACATCCGTTCCAGACTCACACGTAATGTGAAAGACATTATAGAATATTCTTTAGAATATGTTTTAGAATATTCTTCTATCTTTAGAATATGCTTTAGAATATTTTAGGAATATACTCTAGGATATTATTATTGTATAGAATCTTAAAGGAATATTCTATCTTTGTAATGTATATATATATGGGTTTGACCCTCCAATGAAAGACACACAAAAATCATTCTTCTCATTACTATTCTATCTTTAATTCTTACAACATGGTATCAGAGCAATCTGTTCCAGTTTAGCTTAGCAGTATTTTTCAGAATCTCAGTTCATGCCTCAGCCAGAACCTTAGCCCAAAATTCAGAACCTCAGTCCAAAATCCACAGTTTCACATAGCATCACCTCCACCCTAAGCAGTCACGCCTTCCGCCGCCGACCTTACACTCGAAATCCGCAGGCCACACGCGCCGTCAGAGGACCTCGCAGACCTAATCGCAGACCCAATCGCCGGAGAATCCATCGGAACTATTTTCCGGTGTCTTGAACGGTATTATCTTTCTGTGACTTTGCTTATTAAGTAACAACGACATTCAAGGATAGTATTTTGGTCGCTGTAAGTTTACTTAATACATAGCATCTTATTTCTGCAATTAAAAAAAAAAGTCAAAAAAAAAAAGTCAAAAAAAAAAAATCAAAAAAAAAAAATGCATGGTTCTGATACAGACACTTCCACCGTACAACATGCTCAGCCTTTGGTAGTTTCCGAAGTTATTCCCATTAATTTTAAAATTACTGAGAATAAACTTTGTGGCTCTAACTATCTTGAATGGAGTAAAACTATCAAACGTTATTTACGAAGCATTGATAAATACACCCACTTAGTTGATGACCCGCCAAAGGAGGAGATTGATAGAGCTGCTAATGCTGTCTGGCTTCGTGATGATTCTAGATTATTTATCCAGATTCAGAAGTCCATGGAGAATGACGTCATGGGGTATGTTAGTCATTGTGATACTGTGAAAGAACTCTTTGATTATTTGGAATTTATGTATTCTGGCAAAGGTAATCTTAACCACATCTATGAAGTGTGCAAAGCCTTTTACAGGGCAGAAATGAAAGATAAGCCTCTCACAGCTTATTTTATGGATTTCAAGAAAACGTATGAAGAACTTAATACCTTAATGCCCTTTAGTCCTGATATCAAAGTGCAGCAGAAACAACGCGAACAAATGGCAGTCATGAGCTTTTTGGCTGGTCTTACGTCTGATTTTGAAACAGCCAAATCACATATCCTATCTAGTGATGTGGTCTCTTCTCTTCAAGATGCTTTCAGTAGAGTGCTTCGCACTGACACTTCATCCACATCATCAGCACCTCAGCCAAGCAATGCTTTTGTGGGACAAGTCCCAACATTCCCCAATGGAGGTGAGAAGTGGCCACGCACAGGACCGATTGGCAAAGGAGTAGTATGCAACTACTGTAAGAAACCCGGACACTTGATCAAAGATTGTCGAAAGCTAAAGTTCAAAAATCAAGGAAATCAAGTCGCTCACATTGCTTCCGCTACACAGCCATCTAATGGATCCATCATTATGTCTTCGGAGGAATGTGCCAAATTCCTAGGTTACCAGGAGGCTCTAAAGCATTCATCTACTCCTATCTCAGCTGTAGCTAATTCAGGTAATCCAAACACATGTCTTGTATCTTCATCCTCAAAATGGGTTATCGATTCAGGAGCAACAGATCATATGACAGGTAATCCTAGTCTTTTTTCCTCATTCCACACACCTCTTCATTCTTCTAGTGTGACTTTGGCTGACGGATCTACGTCACCCGTTCTTGGTACGGGTACAATTGTCCCAACACCTACCTTACCTTTGTCACCCGTCCTAAGTCTTCCAAATTTTGCTTTCAATTTGATTTCGATCAGCAAAATCACACGTAAACTTAATTGTTCTGTAACCTTTTTTCCTGGATATTGTGTATTTCAGGATCTGTTGACGAATCAGGTTATTGGTAAAGGATATGAGTCGGCCGGTCTCTATCTCTTGGATACATCCTTACCCAAATCAATCTCTTGTCTTGGCATTGGAACTGTGTTAGAGGCTCACTATCGACTAGGTCACCCTTCTCTTCCGTTGTTAAAGAAGCTTTATCCTCAATTCAATAAGGTGTCATCTTTACAGTGTGATTCGTGTCAATTTGCAAAACATCATCGAAGTAGTCTAAGTCCTCGAGTCAATAAACGAGCACATGCTCCTTTTGAACTGGTTCATTCTGATGTTTGGGGTGCTTGCCCTGTTGTGTCCAAATCTGGTTTTAAATATTTTGTTACCTTTGTTGATGATTATTCTCGTATGACTTGGATTTATTTCATGAAACGTCGTTCCGAGTTATTTTCTCATTTTTGTGCCTTTTGTGCTGAAATCAAAACTCAATTTAATGTACATGTTCGTATTTTAAGGGGAGACAATGCTCAAGAGTATTTGTCTGCCTCATTTAAGTTGTATATGGCTCAACATGGCATAATTCATCAAACTTCATGTGTAGACACACCTCCCCAAAATGGAGTTGCTGAACGAAAGAACAGACATCTATTAGAAACTGCGCGGGCTCTTCTATTCCAAATGAATGTGCCAAAACATTTTTGGGCAGATGCTGTGTCTACCGCATGTTTTTTGATCAATCGAATGCCATCTACTGTTTTAGATGGTAAAACTCCATATCAGTGCCTATTTCCAAATAATGAAAATTTTCCTATTCCTCCTAAAGTTTTTGGTTGCACTTGTTTTGTACGAGATGTTAATCCCCATTTAACAAAGTTAGATCCCAAGTCATTAAAGTGCATTTTCTTAGGCTACTCTCGAGTTCAAAAGGGGTACAGATGTTTTTCTCCAAGTACAGGTCGGTATATTGTTTCAATTGATGTCTCCTTTTATGAAAATACACCATTTTCATCAACAGACACAAATATCTGTAGGGAGAATGATGATATACTCATTTACACAGTCACTATACCCGAGTCCAATACTTCAGCAGTTCTTCCCCATGTTACTTTTCCTGAGCCTAGGCCTCCGATACACTTGGTATACACCCGTCGACACAAAGTGCAAGATCACCCTCCACCTGTGGTTACTTCTCCTGATACTGATCCGATCTCATATCCTGAACCGACACCTGCATCTTCAGATCCTGTCTCTACATCAGATCTTGATCTCCCCATCGCACTACGTAAAGGTACACGGTCTTGTACTCATCCTATTTCTTCATGTGTGTCGTATAATCAGTTATCATCTGCCTCATGTTCTTTTATTGCTTCCATTGATTCTATTTCTGTTCCCAAATCTGTTAAAGATGCTTTGTCTCATCCTGATTGGCGTCATGCCATGGTAGAGGAAATGAATGCTTTGGATCTTAATGGTACCTGGGATTTGGTAGACTTGCCTACAGGGAAGAAGTCTATAGGATGTAAGTGGGTCTTTGCTGTAAAGGTTAACCCTGACGGATCCGTTGCTCGATTGAAAGCCCGATTAGTTGCGAAGGGTTATGCTCAAACCTATGGCGTTGATTATTCTGACACATTTTCTCCTGTTGCTAAATTAACATCTGTCAGATTACTTATTTCTCTCGCAGCAACTCATGGTTGGCACTTATATTGATCACTCATGGTAGATCACCATCAGGAGGAAGTTTATATTGAGCAACCTCCGGGGTTTGTTGCTCAGGGGGAGTATGGGAAAGTTTGTCGACTTCGCAAGTCTCTTTATGGTTTGAAACAGAGTCCCCGTGCATGGTTCGGGAAATTCAGCCAATCAATTGAACGATTTGGGATGATAAAAGGCAAATCAGATCACTCTGTATTTTACAGACAAACGAAAACAGGTATTACATTGCTTGTGGTGTATGTCGATGACATTGTGATTACAGGGAGTGATAATACAGGTATTTTGGCCATAAAGAATTTTCTTCATAGTCAATTCCAGACGAAAGATTTGGGCTCATTGAAATACTTCTTGGGAATTGAGGTTACACGGAGTAAGAAAGGCATATTTCTATCTCAACGTAAATATGTGCTTGACTTACTAACTGAAACAGGGAAATTGGGGGCAAAACCAAGCAGTACTCCCATGATTCCCAATGTACAACTCACTCATGAAGGTATGTCATTCGAAGATCCGGAAAGATATAGACGGTTGGTTGGAAAACTTAATTATCTCTCAGTTACCCGTCCAGATATTGCATACTCAGTGAGTGTAGTAAGTCAATACATGTCATCTCCGACAGTGGATCATTGGAATGCTGTAGAGCATATATTATGTTACTTGAAGGGGACACCGGGACGAGGTATTGTTTATCAGAATCATAATCACATGAGAATAGAATGCTTTGCAGATGCTGATTGGGCTGGATCTAAAGATGATAGAAGATCCACATCTGGCTATTGCGTCTTTGTTGGTGGTAATCTCGTCTCTTGGAAAAGTAAGAAGCAGAATGTGGTTTCTCGTTCGAGTGCTGAATCAGAATATCGGGCTATGGCACAATCGGCATGTGAGATAATCTGGATAAACCATTTATTGAGTGAAATGGGATTGAAGACACCAATGCCTGCTAAACTCTGGTGCGATAACCAAGCTGCTATACACATTGCCAACAATCCAGTGTTTCATGAGAGAACAAAACATATTGAGATCGATTGTCACTTTGTTCGAGAAAAGATACAACAAGGATTGATCTCTACAGGACATGTGAAGACTGAAGAGCAACTTGGAGATTTGTTCACTAAAGCACTAAATGGAATTCGTGTTGGTTACTTCTGTAACAAGTTGGGCATGATAAATATTTATGCTCCAACTTGAGGAGGAGTGTGAAAGACATTATAGAATATTCTTTAGAATATGTTTTAGAATATTCTTCTATCTTTAGAATATGCTTTAGAATATTTTAGGAATATACTCTAGGATATTATTATTGTATAGAATCTTAAAGGAATATTCTATCTTTGTAATGTATATATATATGGGCTTGACCCTCCAATGAAAGACACACAAAAATCATTCTTCTCATTACTATTCTATCTTTAATTCTTACAACACGTAACAATGGTGGTCGTCGATCATTGGCTGGAGAATGTTTGAGCCTGTTTTCTTGGTGTTTCCTTGGTCGTTTTTCAGCACTGATTTGGAATGAGGAATTACGGCTGAAAAAACCAAAATCGGACTGGTTTTTGCATAGATTACTGTTCAAATATGAATCGTTCTTTGTGAAAACCTTGCTGTTAGGTGTTTTATTTCTGGAATTAAAGGTCTTTCTGGCGTTTAATTTCTGAAATATTAGGTCTATTTGGTGTTTAGACACGCCAATTGTTTCTTGAGCAGGGAAAGCTTCATCTGCGGATACTGTTCATCGTCGGCTATGGCAAGGAAGAAACTGAGAGACTCCATCGCGCCACCTATTGTGCGAGCAGCAAGATCTAGATTTGCTGTCCTTGACACGGAGGAGGAATCCCCAGCCCTAATTGCTGGGACTAGCGTGAAAAGGCCAGAAAAATCAAAAGCTGCTGCTATTGAAGATACCGAAAGAGGTGCAGGAGATATGGTCTTTACTGTTACTAAGGTGGTGACCTCAATCCCAGCTGCTGGGAAGTCTACGCAAGGGATGGCCAGTGTCCAATTTGAAGAAAATGTTGTGATGAATGCTACGGTACAGGCTGTGAAGGGTCCTTCTAATGCTACTGCCAAAGAGAATGAAGTAAAAAAGAAACATGATGCGGCCATAATCTCAATCCAGAAGCACCTCCTGGAAAATCATGCTGCTATGGTCACTGGCAGTGAGCTTATCACTGGGAAATTGGTGCAGGAGGATGATACGTTGATTCTGAAAAAAGTGGCAGAAACTGTAGAACAACCAGCGCGGGCAGTGCACTCACCATGGAATTCCCTTTTCAAAGACAACCAGGATCCTTCAAAAGGCCTCAAGTTGAGGTACATCCCACCGAAAGGCAACTCCCTAGACTTTGCTGATAGAGTTTTACCCTCCATGGTGGATATGTGGGGTTCTTGTCTTGTTGGGTGCTTCACCAGGAACCGCCCTCGGACTTGAGAATATTTACGACTTTAAAAACACATGGGGGTTAATTGCATTATTAAGCCACATGAAAAGAGGTGGATTATCTTTAAATTTTAAAATGAGAAGGATAGAGCAAAAGTATTGAAAGAAGGTCCCTATACCATATTTGGAAAACAACTTATGCTTAAAGAACTTTCGGAAGACTTTACGTTTGATGATGATGAATTTCTAAAAGTCCCTATTTGGGTTAAATTTCCAAATTTACACATGAATCTTTGGAATGAGGTTGCTTTGAGTGAAGTTGCATCTATGGTTGGAGTCCCGTTAACTACGGACAAAATAACCCAAGACATGAGCAACCATAACTTTGCTAGAGTTTTGATTGAAGTTGATGTCTCTCAACCACCTCCGCTATCATTCCCTATACGACTACCTTCCCGTAAAGTGGTCAAACAAAATGTGGTTTATGAAACTTTTCCTAACTTCTATTTCCACTGTAAAGTTTATGGGCACCATCCATTTATTTGCGAGAAACTAATAGCAAAGGAAAGGGTTAAGATTATGGTTGGAAAGGGGGACAATACTTTGATTGCGGCTATTGAAGTTGAATCTAAGGACAAAGAGAAGGAAAAATTACAAAGGAAAGATAAGACTGTGACTGAAATTGTTAATATTGAAACCATAGTGACAGAAAGGGAGGAGCTACCTACGGCAGAAAACGCTCATGTGGATACTATTGCAAGGGGGGAGGAAACTGGGGACCTGCTGGCTGCACCTGTACAAGAAGTGATGGAAGCGGATGAGCTGAAGTCTCCTCCGGAATCTGTCACGCCAATGATTGCAGCCAAGTTGAAGACTGCTGCAAAAAAGAAAATGGATCTGAATAGGGATTGGATATATATTTGTGGGAGAAAACTATACATCAAAGAAAAAGAGAAAGGTTAACTAGGAGGAGTTGACTGGGACTTTGGGTTCTGCTATTGCGCTGCTGCATTTCTTGGACACCGAAGGATGCTTATGTGGAACTTCTTCTGCTGGGATTTATTATTTTGTGCCTCATGGCATGGCTTTACATATTAAATACTTGGATTTGAAGTTTTTCTTTTGGAACGGATTGTTCTACGTATTTGGATCTATTTTGTGGACTGTTTTTTCTGTACTAAGCTGGGGGCATGTCCCATGCTAGTTATTGATCTATTTTGCTAAAATCTCTCGCCCGCCCTAGCCTGATGGGGTGGGGTGGGGGTGAAGGGTAGTTACTATCATAGGTTAGTTTACTAGCTTGATAGTTATTTTTGACACATGTATTTTGTTACTTTTGGATGATTTTTTAATATATACTTACATTTCATCCAAAAAAGTTGAGATGCAATCTTGAGCGTTGCTTGAGATCACCTCATGCGTGCTCAAGAAAGAATGTGTCATGCGCATGACAATAACCACCGAGACGTTGTGCTCAACGAGGGATAGTGGGTTTGGATCATCGTAAATTCAGCGTAACCAAACGGGCATCGGCAAAATTATCACAACGGTATTTTGGGTCATTCCCGATCATCAAGAAAATTGGTGGCGAAGTGGCATACCATTTGGCCCTTCCTGAGAGTAGTAAAGTCCATGACGTTTTTACATTTCATTACTTAAGGAATTTAAGGGAACGCCAGCATCACAGTCTCTTGCACTACCTAGCCTTCACGACGGGAAGCTCCTACCACAGCCAAAGGAGGTCTTACGTGGTCGTCTTAACAGGGGCAGAAAAGAGATTTTAGTGGTGTGGCCTGACATGCATCCAGATGAGGCTACTTGGGAGAATGTCGATGAGTTCAGTCTTCACTTCCCCACCTTCAAGCTTGAGGACAAGCATGATCTGAACGTAGGGAGTAGTGATGCAATCATAGGGCGTGAGTATCACCGTAAAAGAAAGAAAGATAAAAATCAGCAAATTTGATAGACAAATCACACGGATTGAAGATCTGTAAAGATCTGAGACATTATTTTCTGATTTCAATTTTTGAATTATTGTGTTCTTTTTAGTTGTTTTCTTTATTTTTTTCCAAAATCTTTAAAGCCTATTTAAGATCCAGTTGAATGTAGGAAAAGGGTATGCAAGTTTTGAGCAAGAAAAGTCTAAGCGAGTTTGTGGAATTCTCAAAGAATTCCAACTTGTGATAAAAGTTTGCATAATTATATTCTTCCTAGTTTTCGGTCATACAGTAAACATAGTCAACCCTTCCAAAGCTCAATCTACCCTCTCACTCATCCGAAGGCCTGGGACGAGATCTTGCACACATGCTGCTCGTAAGTCGTAACAGATTATCTCAGGAAGTCATGAGCAAGCGAATTTCCAAATCCATATGATGCATATTAAACAATAAGTAATTTCCAAAATAGTGTAACTCTTAAGTAACAAATAACTAAATTCATGCATAAATGTTCAACGTTACAGTTTTAAAAAAGTTCTTCGCTATAATTATACAAGTCAATTCAACACGTATAAATACATGACAAAATCCCACTATGATATGCAAAAGAATTATGGTATCCATCACTTCTTATCAGCAACAATAACAGCAACTTACCATGATTGCAGAAATCAATACCAGGGACAAGACCTTCTACCCACACTGTATCTTCTACAGATTCAGATGCAATAGCAGTTCCATTTGTTTCAGCAGACTCAAGTTCTGAGAAAAGGTATTACTCAGTAAAGCGAGAAATCAAATTATCAATTTACTTAAGAAAGAAGTTGTTCTCAGCAGCATGAACAGGAAATGTAGTGGAGTATTACATCACTCTGTTCATACTATTAGTCATCCAATCTGTAACTGCAAAAATGATTAATATGATGTCTCAGAATCTCATTATTTTCATGAAATTGGTCTACCTTTTCCTTCTGAACTTTTTGGAAATACATAGGAATGTGGAAGAGGTATATTCTGTGCTCGACTCCAAAATACAGAATTTGCCCTGAGATGGATACAGTTTTCCGACATAAGCTGTTTGTCTCGTGATAATATTTGAACATTATAATACGTGGAAAATTAAATGTCAAAATTAGCCAAAGGCTAGAAAGCAGCATTCATAAAGAAATGTACCATAAGAAGTCATCAAAGCCCACTTCACTGCCAAAAGTTAAGAAGAAATTAAAGATAATCAAAGAACTTGTTGAAAGAAATGTGATAACAGAATCTGCATTGGACAAAATGACTTATGGTCCCTTTGGTGGTGGTGAGTGGTGATCATAGAGTAACTGCGCACACCTTTCAGGGCATCCATCAAGAGTTAAAAGTTCCTCAGCCAACTTCTTCATTTTCCCATAAAAAAGATAATGCAGTTTTTGCTTCTGGAACATGAAAGCATGCATTCAGTCATTCATGATCTGCCTCGGCCTCATATGTTAGCTTGCAATCATACTTAATTGGTTAAAGCAGTACATATCTTTTACTGAATAATTGTAAAACATAGTTTGAGCCATTAACAACAGACTTCACTGTTGGAACTTGGGTGCCTCTAATCACAACAACCTAATACAAATTTTAGCATCATCATGACATCATATGTTGAGAGACAATACCTGCAAATCAGTTGCCCGATACAATGTGGTTCCCTTCAGCTCTGAAAGCTCATCATCTGAAAACCATAGTGGGTTCCCGAATTTGGTGGGAAGAATATCAAAATACCTAGAATGATAGCATACACCATCACTATCATTTTATAGGAGGAACAAAGTTACAGAGCAAATATGAAAATTATTTAGCTTTGCATACGGTTTCCAAGATGAGTTCTTCCTTAGACGTTCCACCATTAGAAACAAAATCATTAAGAACCTGTCATCTACTTCCTCTTCCTCAAACATGGCTCGACAGTGAGGTCCAAAAAGAGGATCTTGAAGCACCCTCATAGGCGTTATACTTAAATCAAGTGGGACCACCAGCAGTATCCCTGAAATTCTCAACAACAACAAGAAGAACAACATCCAAGCCTTAGACCCAAAAGA